GGGGGCAGCTCTTGGCCCACAGTGCTGGACCCTCCCCCACAGAGCCTCATCCTTCTGGGAGAAGCTCCTCAGGCTCTCATCTACTGACCCACCCTATCCCACTACTTGCCACCCGGATTCCAGCCCCCTCTCCAAGAGGCAGGGCGCCCTTGTTCGCATTCAATCTTTAAGGATGGGGATTTCTGGGGAGGGTTGGCACAGGACCAGACATCACGCAGTCTATCTAGTAAGATTTTTTTTGTTCTAGTTTATTTTGTCTGATATTAGTGTGGCCATTTTAACTCTCTTATGGTTGCTGTTGCATGATGTAATTTCCCTGTCCTTTTACTTTCAACCTTTTTTGTATCTTTGACTCTATAGTACTGTATGTCTCCTGTAGCATATAGTTAGATCTTATTTTTTTTTAATGTAGCCTGATACTTTTTCGCCTTTTGATTGGATTATTTAATCAATTTATGTTTAGTGTTATTGATATATTGTGTTTAGGTTTGCTGGTAACTTTTATTTCTATATATTTTCTCTCCTTTTCCCCCCTGTATTTCATCTTTCCTGATTTCTTTTGCATTTAAGTGAATATGTCTAGTGTAACATTTTAATTCCTTTATAAATATATGTACATGTATGTATTTGTGGTTGCTCTAGGGCTTACAGTACATATCTACAAGAATCTGCTTCATATTTATATTAATTTATTTCATTGAGATATAGAAACATTTAGCTCATTTTCCTTTTTATGTTTGCGCTATTACTATTCTATGTATTGCATCTAGATATGTTACAAACCCAACAATTCCTTGTTGTAATTATCACTTTATGTAATTTTATATCTTTAAAGAAGGTGACAGAAGAAAGAATAGCAAGGATATATTTGTAGTATTTGTTTTATCACCTTCTTATTTACCATTTCTGGTTTTCTTCATTTGTTCCTGTGGATTTGAGTTATCATCTGAAGTCAATTCCATAGTGCAATAAAACTGCTCAAACCCCACTTCCTTTGTGCTGCTATTACAAATATATTACATTTCTGTATTACAGGTCCATCAATACAATTATATACGTATTGTTCTGTATAATTGTTTTTAAAGCTATTAAGAGACGAAAGGAGAAGTTATATGCATCTATACTGTCAAATTACATAATTACCTTTATTAGTGCCTTTGTTTCATGTGAATTCAAATTAATTACTGTCTGGGGTCACTTGTTTTCAGCCCTGAAAAACTTCATTTAGTAGTTCCTCTATGAGGTGCCTGCCAGCAACCAGTTCTCTCAGTTTTTATCTGAGAATGTCTTTATTTTGCTTTCATCTTTAAAAGAAATTTTTTTGGATATCTGATTGTTGGTTAACAGGGTTTTTTTTCTTTTAGCAATTGGAATGATGTTTCATCCTGCTGCCTCCCAGTCTCCACTGTTTCTGATGAGAAATCAGCTGTTAATATTGTTGGGGTTCTTTGTACATAATGAGTCATTTTTCTTTTGCTGTTCCCAAGACTTTCTTTGTCTTTGAATATTTTTACTATGATGTGTCTTGGTATGGATCTCTGAATTAATCCTACTTAGAGTTTGTTGAGCTGTTTGGATGTCTAGATTGTTTTTAATCAAATTTGGGGAATTTTCAGCAGGTATTTCTTTGAATTTTTTCCTGCTCCTTTTATATCTGTCTTTCCTCTTTCTCGTACTCATATTATTTCTGTGTTGGTGTGTTTATCAGTGGCCTGTGTTTCTCTGAGGCTCTGTTTATTTTCTTCATTCTTTTTTTCCTCTGTGCTTTGGATTACATAATCTCTATTAATCTATTAATCTATCTTTTTGATAGGCTTTATTTATTTTTCAATTTTTATTGAATTTATTGGGGTGACATTGACTAATAAAATTATACAGGTGTACAATTCTATACTATATCTTCTGTATATTGTATTGTGTGTTCACCACTCCAAGTGAAGCCTCCTTCCATCATCATTTATCCCCCCTTTACCCTTTTCTACCTGACCCCACCCCCCTTTTTCCCTCTGGTAATCCCCATACTGTTGTCTGTGACTACGAGTTTTTTTCTTTGCTTACTCCCTTCACCATTTTCACCCAGCACCCCTCTAACAGTCTATTCTCTGTACGTATGAGTCTGTTTCTATTTTGTTTATTTTGTTCCTTAGATTCCACATATAAGGGAAAGCTTGTGTTACTTTTCTTTCTCTGACTAGCTTATTTCACTTAGCATAATACTCTCCAGATCTATCCATGGTGTTCCAAAAAGTAAGATTTCCTTTCCTTTTTTATGGCTAGGTAGTATTCCACTGTGTAAATGTGCCTCAGTTTTTTTATTCACTCACCTACTGATGGACACTTGGGCTGCTTCCAAGTATTGGCTATTGTAAATAATGCTTCGATGAATACAGGGGTGCATATATTCTTTCAAATTAGTGTTTTGGATTTCTTTGGATATATTCCCAGAAGTGGAATTGTTGGGTCATAATCTGTCTTTAAGCTCTCATTGATTTTCTTTTGCCCATTCAAGTTCAGGCCCTTTAGTGAATTTTTATTTTCAGTTTTTGTGCTTTTTAACTACTGATTTTTTTTTACTACTGATTTACTACATAATTACTTCGGTAATGGTATTTTTTTATTTGATGAGATCGTCATTATACCATCCTTTACTACTTTAATCATGGTTTTTGTTAGTCTTTTAAACATATTTATAATGGTTACTTTGAAGTCTGTTAAATCTGACATCTCAACCCTCTCAGCGGTGGTTTCTGTTGCCTGCCTCCCCCAGACCCCGTGTCTCACACTTTTTTCTTTGCATGTCTTGTTATTTGTTGTTCAAAACTTATGTATTATAGCAATTCCAGATACTGGACTCTACTACTTTGAGTATGTTATTGTTTGCTTGTTAATTTTTTTAACATCTAGCTGGATTATTTCGGTAAAGTCTATTTTCTCTGCAATGAGAAGCCTTTGATGTTGCTCCATTTTAGAGGGCACAGCCTTGGGCATCAGCATAGCCACCCTGACTGGGATGACAGTGGTTGTAGCAGGGCTTTCTTTCTTTGATCTCTCTGGTGTCATGCCCAGCTGTTGGTCTCTCCTCGTTGATTACCCTATTGTTTTCAACAATTTCCCTAGGGCCTAACTTGCTGAATAGTCTAATTTAATTAAAATGTGGTCTCTTTTACAGGGATAGCTTTTAAGGCCATTGTTTGAGAATTGTTCTGATCTCTGAAGGGTCCTTCCTGTCTTTGTCTGGTTCTCTGTGGTAAAGTAGAGTAAGGCCTATGGCTTAGTTTGTATCTGTCATGAAACTACTAGCCTTCTTTTAATTGTTCCTTTGGATTTGAGAGTGTCCTTAGCCTTGAGCTCCCCCACACTCTGAAATAAAAGCAGTTTCAGGTACCAGAATTGTGCATGCTTCCTTTTGAATCATATCCCTGCTTTAGACGTGAGTTCTGGGCATGGATGGTAATCTCTGGCCCTCTCTGCTTACCTCTCCCAGCATGATACCTCCACTCTAAGAAAGTACTGGGGTGAGAGCAATCAGGGTCCAAGTATTCTCTGTGTCATCCTGATATAGAGTCTTCCACATATGAGTGGGGATAGATGAAAGAAGAGAGAATCTCTTGGATACATTTGTCTCACATTTGTCCTGTGCAGTATGTAGCCCGGGGTGGGGAAGATGAGATAAGCTGGTGGCCTGCTTCTTCCAGGAAGAGACCATAGCCCTTGACTGGGAGCTTGGGAGAGAAGGGAGGCCCCGTATTGACTACATTGCCTGGAGTGGAGTTTGTCATGCTGAGCTGAAAAGGGAAAGTGGGTTGTGGTTCAGATGCCACAGATTCTTTCTGTTCCTACTGAGTTTTAATAATTGTGTAGTCATTTTCTGTATGCCTTAAGGCAATTTTCAAAATTTAAATGGTTGTTTTTAAAAATTATTTTTACCAGTTATGCTTGTTTCACTGGGGAATAGGTTTGTTGAGCTCTTCATGCTGCCATTCTGGAGTATGAATATTCTTGCTTGTGACTTCTATAGATACAGATAAAAAATTTTTTAGATTTAGAACTATTGGGTTAAAGGGTATGAAATGGAAATCAATATAGCCCCATAATGTAGAGTTGAACAAAGAAGTTGTACCAGATTATACTACCACCGTCAAAATAGAGTTCCTGTTGCTACACATCTCTATAACACACAATATTGTCATTGGATTTCTTAATTATTGCCTATCTGGTAAATATAAAGTGGTATCTCACTGTGGTCTTAATTTACCTTTCCCTGACATTGGCATCTGTGTTCCTTTTGTTCATTTTGGATATTTGTCCTTTTAATATATGTGAACTAAAATTTTCTCTTGTCTTTTGGTTTGTCTTTTTACTTGGTGATGTGTCTTTTGCTAAACAAAAGTTCTTTTGATATAGTCAAATGTATCAAACATTACATATTTAAATACTTATTCCACGTTAAGAAAGATAATTTTCTACATTAAGAGTTTAAAAAGTTTTACTTTTTTACCCTTTAATTCGTAATGGTTTTCGTGTATGGTGTGAAGCTTTCCATTTTTTCCATGTAGATAACTCATTGACCCAGTCCTATTTATTGAATAGTCTCTCTTTTCCTCATTGATCTGCAGTGCCTCTTAGGAAAGTTTGATGTTACATATCTGTATGAGTGTCTCTGAGGGTTCTCTATTTTATTCCATTGGTCAGTTTGTATAGTCTTGTGTTCTTACCATAGCATCTTAGTTACTATAGCTTTATAAGTAGTTTCATGTCATAAAGAAAAAGTATTTGCCTCCTCCAGAAGTGTCTCAGCCATATGCTTAGATTTTTAATATTTTAAGTAGCTTTGAGTAAAAACATTTTTTCATATTATATATGATAATTACTAGACATGGAGTTCAGTATGTACTAATCACTTTTTAGACCATTTACATTATTGAAAGAAGTAGAAGTAATGTATGATGATTATGCTTCATTTATTAGCTAGGTCACATTTTTTTTCTTTTTAAATATAGGAACGGTTTTGATCAAAAGTAACAGTGGTCAGTTGATGTTGGTATCTCCTCAGCAAGCTGTAACAAGAACCGAGACCACAAGTAACATAATTTCAAGGCCAGCTGTACCAACGAATACTCAAACAGTCAAAATCTGTACGATGCCGGTAATATACCTTAAAGTTTTTTCATCTTCTTTAGTTTTCCAGCTATTATTTTCATATAAACGTACATGTTTTGCCAGTAAAAATAATAGAAGGGATGATTTTGTTCAGTTATGCTACTTTCTTTGAATATATGTTAATTTAATCAAGATATTTGGTTTTGTTGTTTGGTGATTGCTAAAACAATAACAATTCAATCTTCATACTCGAAGGTTTTATAGTCCTTAAGGGAATGTTCAAAGGGCTATTTGCATCTCTAAATAGAAAGAAAACAATTCTGCTTAAATTTTAATTTATGGCAAAATATAAGACTACAGTTTAATATTCACTTTTATCCATATCTTATAGGAATAACCTTTAAGAAATTCAGTACTCTGCCGTAATATTTTATTAGACATTGTTAAGAAATGATTTATTTTACATACATGATGATCTTTCTTAGTACTTGAAGTTTATCTTGTGTGCCAGAGTTAAAAAATAAATATGCTTTTATGGGCATCTTTCTTTGGTTAAACAGAAAATGCTGAATATAGAATAGCATTTTCTTGATGAGTAGGCTCATCCTAAAGAAAGGTTGCACAGTTTTCTCTGGTAATACCATCCTCTGCCAATTTAAATCTCCCCCACCCCCATTTTTTACTCTTCTAATTTGATTCTGGGTTCTCAACCAGTCATTTGTTACTGTATCTGTCAATGATAGCTACTCCTTCCTTTTCTAGTTAGCTTTATCTAACTGCTGTCGGTTGAGAAGATAGGTTAGCAGATTTTTGTTTATAATTAGATAGCAAATAAGAATCCATGTTTTCTGTTTGCGCCAAAGAGTAGATTTCAAGATTTTAATGCTGAAATACTGTGATACTTATTTGTTAAATCAGTTGCCTCCTTATGAAATGAGTATCAACTGGCCAATTGACCAGTTAGGTTCATAGTAGAGAATGTGCATAAAATTTATAAAGATTATAAAGCCAGTTATAACAAAGAAATTTGCTATGGCAAAGTGTTTCAATGTTTGCCACAGTACTGATTGATTTTAAATTACTAATGCTAATGACTCTGTATTACCCCCTAACCCCCCCAGAATTCCAATTCACAATTAATGAAGAAAGTGGCAGTGGCACCTGTTAAACAATTGGCACAACTGGGAACTACTGTGGTAACCACTGTTCCAAAGCCTTCCTCGGTACAAGTAAGTTGTAATAGACTTATGGTCATATGTGCACTAGTTATTCTCCCATCTTTCTTTATTAGTTTTCTCCCAGATGTATAAGTTGCTGACTATGTGACATTGAAGAGAGCAATTCAATGATATATGATGACACTTATCAAACTGATAACTGTTGGAGGTAGGGAAACATAAGAAACATGGTGTAGTGTCTTGGAATATTAGCTTAATACAAATGCATCAAATTGCCATGTGTTCCAGTGTCTAGAAGCAGGTGCTGGAACAGAATTTTGGTGTATGGGATATTTATTAGGGTTTGATATACCTGTGGAAGGGAATGGAGAGTAAGAGTTTGAACTAGCAGGGCCAATTAAGCTTTAGTGAAACTGGTGAATAACTTTGAAGCAAGTATGGCCTGTCAGAGTTGTCCCACTGTGTGCCAATATGGCTGGGCCTTAATTCTTCTTCGTGATCAGTCATTGGATGTGGACTCTCTAGGGAGAGTTGTGCTCTTGGGCAAGGTAATTCTCTGCAGCTGAGTTAAAACTCGAAGGAACTGACAACTGCAGGTTATCTAATAGCATTTCCTGTATCTAGGACAATGCAGATCTCTTCTTGTGATGGCATATCACAGTATACTCCTTGCATTACTGGGATCTGCTTCCTCATACATTTTGAAGACCTGACCTTTTGGGATTCCAGTGGATTACTTCCTTGGGGAACTAACGAAGAGGAAATTAGTAGGATGAATTACAGTCCCCACTGCTGCAACTGATACTCATCATCTCCTTCTTTTATTATCCATTCCAGATTCCCCTTACCCTCAACTACCAACTCTACTAATCATGGTAGCTTAGCTGGTAGTGTGACCAGACCTTACTCCCTGAGAAATATGAGGTCCTAATCACCATGGTCTTTTGAGGCAATTGCTGTATTTGTCCATGTATCATCACAATTGCGCAAGGAAATACCAAGAGGCACTTAAGTGGATCATTTGTCTTTACTACACATATTCCTCTTGGCTTCCATTGTGTAATAGCAACCCTACCTATTCCAGATGTCAGGTCAGTTACCCCATCATAATAATGACTCTTCACTTTTCTGCTGGTTCCTGGACACAAGGAACCTGAAGTGCCCAGGAGGCCCCCATGGTGTCTAGTTTATAGGGACTCTTGTTATGTCCTTTGGTGAAAGAGTGACCCCTGTGGGGCCCGTATGGGCAGAGCTCCCAGGTAGTGGGTTCAACCAAACAGGAGGAAAGCTGAGAGACAGTGAAGCAGCAAGTGCTTTTATTGAGGACTGGTATAAAGTACAGAGCAAGAGATATGCGGAGATTTCATTGGTGTGTTTGAATGTCACTAACTCACAGCCTGAGGGGGACAGGAAGGGGAACTTGTAGCAGGGACCACCCCTCACACTGGTACACCTAGTTGCCTGGATGGGGTGCCCAGAGAGTATTTGTGGGGGTGTTGAGGCATCAGAAAAATAGGAAGTTAAAAAAATTTACAATATAATTATTTTATGGAAGAGTTTTATCACTTCAGCAGTACTGTGAGAATATGAATTTTTCATTGAATCTATTTTTTAAAGATTTAGTACTTATGGTTCTTCTAAAATGGTATATCTGGGTTATTAGTTCTTTTCCTTGGATTATTTTTCATCTGTGTGTCTACCATTGACATTACCATTGTGGTTCATTTGTAACCTTTCCTACTTTAGATCAATGCATACTTTAAGCCGGGCTGCTCCTCAGTGGTAGGCTAAAGCAGTAGAAATTATCAAACAGTGAAGTTAATGAATAATGTGTCCATTTTGAGGGGTAAAGCATCTCCATTTTAGGCATTTCTTAGAAATAAGGAGCTAGAACTTGGAAATGAGAGATGATAACCTCTTTATACTTGACTATTTGACTATGAAGGCAAATGTGTGTTAAGAAATTTTGAAAAATATTTTTCTATTAGTAGGTATTGATAGTTATTAAAATGGCTTAAAACATGGTCTGGTCTAATAAATATAATACAGGAACTAGTTTGAAATCTTTGTTCAGTTTTATGTTGTATTTGATGAAGACATAGCTTGACCAGTTGTTATGTTGAAATATAATGTACAAATGATTGCATTTAGAATTAGTATTTCTAATTACAAATGAACAGACCCAGAGTTCATGGCTTTTTCAGGCAGATATAGAAAATGCAGTTTAGTCTGCTAAATTTGCATACAACTAATTTTACTGGCTCTATGTATAACTGATTTTTTACAGATTATTTCACATACTCCCAGGTCTTTTTTCTCCTGTTTCCCTGACATGCCTAGTGAATGCTAGTGTAGTCTTGCAAAGCATGGAAGTACCATTGGCTGGCCTATATTGAGTCTAAGGCAGAGTTATGATTGAGTTTAAGACGGTTCATTCATTATGGCAGCGAGACTATGTAGATGAAGACTGGGATTATGTACTTCTCCATGCCTTTTAAGAGGTGAAATTCACGTGGAAAGTGCATGTATTTGGTAGGGTCGTGAAGGACAGATTTTGTCCGGGAGACAGAATAAAATATTGACAAGTAAAGTAGAAATGCCATAAGTGCTCCCTCCACTCAAAAAGTAGGACACTTTTCCTGAGCTCACATTTCATTTGGCCTTATTTTGCTTGTAAGGGGAAGGGAAAAAACTCCCCGAAGGAACCCCTCCTACCCGAATTGAAAGGTAATCATACTCACCAGCTAAAGTTCCAGATTACACCTCTTAAAATACAGTAACACAAAGAGTTAATGACTGAATATAAAATAGACTCACTGAAGAAAGACTAATTATTTGCTGTACATAAGGCTAAAAAAGTTGATTAGAAAATCTCCAAAATGATTCAGAGGAAACTGTATAGTTGTGTCATTGGAGAGCAGGACTAAGGATAGGAATAGGAGGAAGATGTAATTTCCTTGTTGCCTTTGAGATCTGGTCATACTTAATAAATTTGTACTAATTTAGGCACATCTTTTGTTTTCCCCTTTAATGCTTAACATTTCATCATTAATTCTAGTCACCATCATTAGTTAGTGTTTTTAATTTCTCATTTTTATGCTCAAAAAATTCTTGTCTAATACATGCTCCAGTCTTTCTAAAGTGGAAAATATTGTTGTACATTCAAATTTACCTATCTTTACTATTACAGAAAGAAATTTTCTTGAAGATAATAGCAACCTGACCTTTCTGTGCTGTATGCCTATAGAACACAAGCATTTAAATTAAAATGATGGTGCAGTGTTCAGTTTTCTGTGTGAATTGTAAATACTATTCTCTCCACGCCCCCAAACTTTACTCATATTCTGTGACTTTTAGTGTCTGTCTTTAAAATAAGATTGTTGCTTTAGCTCAATATCGTTTTCTGAGTTGCTACCTGACTTGTGATTTCTTGTATGAAACTTTTATCCTGCAGGTGGTGCTATAATCACACTTCATTTCAACAGAGGATAGAAGAAGCAATTGAAATTCTTTTCATTGTGAAAATAAGATATCACTTTCATAATATTCGTAGTGCTTACTCTTATGGTCTATGTAAAAGCAGCTTATCTGAATATAAGATGACCAGTAAATCTCTGCTTTATACTTAAGAAAAAGCGAAGAATTACAGAACAGGAAATTCCATATTTTCATATAAAGGCTTACTATTTCAAATCCTTTTTAGAGAAGTATTAATAATATTTTGTGAGGACTTTGTGCTTAGCACTGTATTTCACAAAGAACCCTAAGGTAGTAGGTACCATTGCTGTGCTTGTTTTTAATAGACAGGAATCAAGCACTTAGCAGGATTTAGTAACTTGCCTGAGGTCAACACTCAGTAGGTGTCAATGAAAATGATGTAGGTAGATGAGCCTGAAATGCAGATCTGCTAGAACCCAGAGCTTTTATAACTGTTACATAACATAAAAGTGAAGATTTCAAGTCCATGTGTAAAGTCTGATAAGTGTGAAATGAGGGCACCCACTATGATACATATGATAGTAATACATATCTAAATATATACTCCTTTTTAATTTCAGTCTGTGGCTGTGCCAACCAGTGTTGTCACAGTTACTCCTGTAAAACCGTTGAATACTTTAACTAACCTGAAGCCTTCAAGTTTGGGAGCATCACACACACCCTCAAATGAGCCCAATCTCAGAGCAGAGAACTCAGCAGCTGCTCAGACTAATCTTTCTCCGGTAAGCTGTCACTGGCACCTTACATATAAATACAGCTCTTAAAATTTTTTTTTAAACTCTATCTTCTAGCTAACATTTATGAGTATTTGTTTATATTTCTATATTTAGACGATGCTGGAAAATGTGAAGAAATGTAAGAACTTCCTTGCAATGTTAATAAAACTAGCATGTAGTGGGTCACAGTCCCCAGAAATGGGGCAGAACGTGAAGAAGCTGGTGGGACAACTTTTGGTAAGTTAGTACTATGAAACCTTGCAAGCTCTGTAAGAATCCATAGAACATGTTTTAAATAGGAAATTAATACTTTTAAATGATGTTTATTTTAAATGGATTTTTGATAAACTTCTTTTGTTTCTTGAAAACTTTGTAATGATTATAAATCTTAGACAAGTAAATCTTTTGTAGTATATATTACTTTCTATGTGTCAGTCCTACTTCCTTGAGCCTAAAAAGGGCCTTGGAGAGAAGGTTGACTGGTCAAATAAAAAGTCAATAGAATTGTAAATGCCAAAAAGCCGAGCTATTAACAAATAATAAAATTCAGTTCTGTATGTCGAAGCAACAAACTTTGGGACCTGTGGAAGGAAGTTAACTTTCTTTATGTCTCAGTTTCCTTCTCTATAAGATGAGAGGAGTAAATGTGATGATCTTTGAGGTTTATCTAAGTGCCAGGATGCTGGTCTTTTAGCTACCAAATTACACATCCTTGGTTTCTTCTGTCCTCTTTCAGGTAAAATGCTTAGATATGTTGAAAAGTGGATGAAGGTGGAAATTAGCAAATACTGTATATTACATACTTAAGAAATATGCTAAGGGATCTAACAAATAGAATTTTGGAATTTTTTTGAATTTTTACAAGAGTTTATTTGAGCCAAACTGACAACATATGTGGAAAAGCAAGGTCCCAAATGTCCTGGAAAATAACAGTTTTGCATCTTTGTTTATGCATTTGAAATTAAGGAGTGAACATAAGGAAGATTACCTGAGGGTGGGGAAAAAGCAAGGTAGGGATGGGATTACAAGATAGTTAACAAGATTATGTACTCTTTTGTGGGTTAATGCCCCCTTTTGGGGTTTTTAATTCTGGTATTTCAAAGGTGTGTTAATCTAGATGCACAAGAGCAATGGACAGGGCTGGCTTAAAACCTTTCACTAAAGATGCTATAGGCCTGAGGCATGATTACCTATAAGCTGCCCAGTTAGAAATTTATGCTCAGATCACTGTATGAGATTATTTTCCATAGGATCCCCCATTTTTGGTCTATAGTTCCCCCTTTTGATCATAAATCAGTTTGAAGGATGCATTGAAGACTAAACTTTTGGTCGGAGAGTGTGGTCTCACAGCTTCTAGGAAGATTCATTTCTAGGACGTCTCAGTATCAGTGTTGTCTTGACCATTGGGGATGGGGCAGTTCTGTAACCATAGGATCTGAGTTGAGGTTGAATTTTTCCCAAAGAGGGAAAGGCAGGTAAATGGAAGGTAGTCAGATCTTACGGCTTTCATTGTGAAAAAACACCATATCATTTTTATTCATGAACTATCATGATTCAAGCTGTTTCCTTCTGTTTTATTTTTCTGTATATGGCATCTAGTGTAACATTTACATAAACCATGAAAAGAATAATAACAGTTATACATGTTCAGTAGTCAGAAATAGTTGGACTATATAGGAAAACCCAAAGAACAAGTATAACAATTATTGTGACTAATATTATTGGGAAATAGGTAAAAACAAGAAAACAAAATGGATTCTGAGTTCAGTATCAATCCATAGCTATACAAGCCTTGTCATATCTTTAGATAGTTGTCTACCTCTGGTGTCAGTGGCTTCTCAGCCTCGAGGAGTCTTTGATGTCCATAACCAGGGGGTAGATGTCCATTTGAGATTAGGCACCTGATAAGTTCCCTTACAATGAAGTTGGAGAGTGTCTTTTACTTGATGTCCTTCCAATAAACAAATCTCCAGGTGGCAGTCAATGATCTTTAAAAGCCTGTATCTTGGAGTCTCTTTAATAAATGGTGTTGGGAAAATTGGACAGGTACATGCAAAAAAAAAAAAAAGAAACTAAACCACCAACTTACACTATACACAAGAATAAACTGAAATGAGTAAAAGACTTAAATGTAAGTCAAGAAACCATAAAAATCCTAGAAGAAAACAGGCAGTAAAATCTGACATCTCATGAAGCAGTATTTTCACTGATACATCTCCTAGGGCAAGAGAAATAAAGGGGGAAAAAAATAAACAAATGGGACTACATCAAACTAAAAAAGTTCTACACAATGAAAGAAAACAAAATGAGAAGGGAACCCACTGTATGGGAGAACATAGTCACCAATGATACACCTGGTAAGGGGTTAATTTCCAAAATATATAAAGAATTTAAACTCTACGCCAGGAAGACAATCCAATTTAAAAAAAGGCAAAGGACCTGAATAGACACTTTTCCAAAGAGGGCATACAGATGGCCAATAGACATGAAAAATGCACTAATTATCAGAGAGATGCCAATTAAAACTACAATGAGGTATTACTTCATATCCGACAGAATGGCTACCATCAATAAATAAGCAAACAAGTGCTGTCAAGGATGTGGGGAAAAAGGAACCCTAGTACACTGCTGTCAGGAATGCAACTGGTGCAGCCACTGTGGAAAACAGTATGGAATTTCCCCCCAAAAATTAAATATGGAACTGCCTTTTGACCCAGTGATCCCACATCTGGGAATATATCCTAAGAAACCCAGAACACCAATCAGAAAGAATATATGCACCCCTATGTTCATAGCAGTGTTATTTATAATAGCTAAGATCTGGAAACAGCCTAAGTGCCCATCAGTAGATGAGTGGATAAAAAAAGCTGTGGTACATTTACACCATGGAATACTAGGCAGCTATAAAAAGGGATTTCTTACCCTTTGCAATAACATGGATGGGCCTGGAGATTATTATGCCAAGTGAAAAAAGCCAGTCAGAGAAAGACAAGTATTACATGATCTCACTTATATGTAGAATCTAATGAACAGAATAAATGAACAAAATAGGTCTAGAGACATGGATGCATGGAACAGACTCACAGATCTCAGAGGGGAGGGGGGTAGAGGGGATGGGAAGAGATTAACTAATGAACATATATGCATATATGAATAGCTCAGGGACACAGACAGTAGTGTGATGAAGCCCTGGGGTGGGGGTCAGGGTTGGGTGGACGGGGGCAAAGGTGGGGAAAATGGGGGACATCTGTAATACTGTCAATAATTAAAATGAAAGAAGTCTCTTTCCTGGGAGTTCTCTGTGAAAGTAAGCAGTTACCAACTTGGCATTTTCTCTATCAAACCTTGGCAATAGTGTAAGATGTCTTTTTTCAAAAGTGTCAGCTCATAAATTCCTTCATCTATGTCCAGCTGAAATGCACTGTAACATGAAGAAATTCAAAAAACAAAAAAATGGGGAGCCAGAGAGTAAGGAAGAACCAAGCAGCCATCTCAGGTTTGCCACTCCGACCACTCAGTATACAGCCATTGCTTATCCATACAATATACCCTAGAAGTTTTCATCACTTATTTTACCGTGTTCCCCATATGATTTCAGTTTTTTTTTAGGTGTTCCAGGAGCTCTTCTGAAACAGTGCAAAGTTATTGCTACATATATTGAAATTTTAACTCTTAAAACATCAATTTCTAGTGAAAACTAGGAAATAATCAATTAGCATTCTTTAGCTTGGACATTTTATAAATTCTAGAAACATTTTTCATAGACATAAAAGTCAGTTATTAACATGGGTTTATTTTTGTAAAACTCAGGCAAAATAAAGACGTCTGTTTTACTTAAACCAATAAACTTAAGCTAGCTTTCATTTACTAAGTATTACTCTTAGATGACATGAACTTGAAAAGCATTTGAGTTAGTTCTATATTTCTGACAATTTTAGAATACCCAATCCTTACAAGCATTTGCCTTTAGCAATACCATCTAGAGGTAGAAAATTATGTCACATTTACAACATACATATATAAATATACACAGACAGAGACAAAGAGTTGGATTCAAATTTTGTTTTCCAGGCATTTACAGTTTATATCTGTCTTTGACAAGCCAAGTGCCAAATAACCTTCCACGTTTTAAAATAAGGACAGCTATTAATACCTCACAGAATCGGATTGACACCTAAATGACATCATAGGTTGATTTATTTATCTAAATACTCCTGTAGCTTTGAGAGACCAATTAAATGTTTTTCATTCATTCTGCCTAATATCTAGCCAGCTTTTTCTAATTGTGTGCACAAAAGGTTAATTTAGAAGTATCAAAGGATCCTCTTCTTGACCATCTTAGTATTAAAGGGAGGCTGGCAACTGTTGTGGGGCTTTTGGTCTCTGAGGCACAATTTCCCATGTTAATTATGAGATCGGTAGAGTCTGAACAAACTTATAGGGAAAACCAGCCTTTATGATATGCCTCCAGATGAGCTAAAAGTCGTGAATCCTCCCTATAAGGACAACTTGATGCCCTAGAGGAAAGTTTTCTTCAGGCATCCCCACAAAGATCGTTAGTTGTCTAAGAATACCCGAGCAGGAGCCAACGAGAGCTTACTGGATGCTGGAATCATAACGCTTTCCAAAGCACAGCCCCTCTCAGGATGAATCCAATCTGGGGCACCCTGCCCTTCTCCCCGGGACTCCCACAGGCTTCTCCAGATCCACTGCGCTACCATTACTAGACAACTCCTGGCACCCACCTCTGCCACTCTGATTCAAGGTTCTGAACAGCTAGCATCACCCCATTGGCTAGCAGGTTGGGGAAGCAAGTGTCATTTCTCTTCTGGAGCTAAATAGAGTTCAGTCTCATTTACCCAGCATAGGTTTTGTTCTGACTCTCAGTAAACAATCCAATTAAAAGCAGCAACCCATTTTTTTTCATTTCCCTGGGTTATCCCAACCTTTAGCCACCTTGAGGATTTTTCTAAGAACAATGCAAATAAAGTCATGGCCTGCTACTTAAAGCAAAGAGGCCCAGATATCTGAGAGACTGTCATCTCATCCAAGTCCACCAATGCAAAGCCTAGCACCACCAGTGTGAAACGGTGGGACCTAGCACCAGTCAGGGTCCACGCAGTGGTTCTGGGTGGGCTTCTTTGGGATACTGCCAAGTAAATGGTGATGAAAGAAACGGCCAAACCTGTAGAGAGATTTTATAAGAGTTTATTTGAGCTAAACTGGTGACACATGCTGGGGAGCAAGACCTCAAATGCTCCCTGGATTTTTTTGAAATGCTGAAATTTATGGATTCCTCTGACCATATAATGAGAATTTTTGTCTATTTTTCTTATAAAAATGGTTACTTTTTTTCAGCAGAAAATGTTGACATACAGTTGACTCTTGAACAAGACAAATTTGAATTGCATGGGTCTACTTATACACAGATTTTTTTCAATAAATATAGTCAGCCCTTTGTATCTGTGGGTTTCCTATCCATGATTCAACCTACTGCTGTTGAAAACAATATTTTCACATTCCCAACTGCGGGTCAAAAATACTGTTTTAAATTATTGGTTGGTTGAACCCAAGGGTGTGAAGGTTTGAGTGCAGAGTCAAAAGTTATACGCAGACTTTACCCTGTGCAGTGGTTGGTGCCTCTAACCCCGTGTTACTCAAGAGTCAGCTGTGTTTCAAAAGGTGTACAGAAAAACAAGCACAGGTTATAAATATTAAAATACCTTCTTTACTACTGTTTTTTATGCTGCCTATAATTTATTAGCTATAGAGCACATTTGAAATGATTAGTTTTCTATTTGAGAAAACTTTTATATATTTAAAATTATAAGTCATATAAACAAGTTTTTAACTTTTAAGCATCCTTTTTTTTAAATGTTTTTATTGATTTTAGAGGAAGGGAGAGGGAACAAGAGAGAAACATCCATCGGCTGCCTCCTGCATGCCCCCCTACTGGGAATGGAACCAGTGATCTCTTGGTGCTTGGGCCAATGCTCAACCAACTGAGCCACACAGAAAAGGGCTTGAGCATCTTTTTAAAGTAAACATTGAGCTTTTGGTCTTCCATTTTTAAGGTATGGTAGTTATGAGAGGGGATCTGGTCACTTGTTTATCGGAGATGGAATACTGTAAATTGAGAGGCATGGTGGAAAGGAGCATGTATTCAAGAAGACATTAAAAAATTTCTTAGTACAAAGAATTTCTTTGAGTTTTTTGGACATCTAGAGGCAGTCAGGAATTAATCAAATATCTTTTCTAGCTTAAGATCTATTTAGCTTAGAACAGTTAATAGCAATTCTCAAACATTTTGGTCTGAGAATATCTTTATATTCTTAAAAATTGAGGATTCCCAAATGTATTTTGGTGTGGGGGTGGAATTAAAACTGATAAATTAAAATTTTTAAAAAATTTACTAATTTATTTAAAAATAACAATAAACCCATTACATGTTAACATAAATAACATGTAAATGAAAACTGTAGTTTCTATAACAAAAAATTTGAGAAGAGTGGCAGTGCTTTATATTTTTGCATATTTCTTTGCTATCTGACTTAATAGAAGATACTGTAGCTGCTTTCTGACATCTGAGTTTACATTTGATGTGTTATTTTGGTCAAAATATTTGGAGAATATTCGACCTCATGCAGAAAGTTGGTTGGAAAAGTATTTTAAGCACCTTTTTCCAGATCATTGTGGATATTCTTTAGATTCACCAGTTTAGTTTGCACTCTAGGTCTTTTATCCATGTATGATTATTGTAACAGAAGGCATTTTGGCTATTTGGAAAATATTGGTTCATTGAGTTGTACAGATCTTCCAAATGTTGATGGATTTGTTATTTAAAATATCCAGAAATGATACTTATAATCTGACTATCAGTCTCATAAGGAAATTCCTTAAAGTACTAGGAAGCTATCAAACTCAGGATCACGGTTACAAATTTTCCAAAATTCTAATTTTGGCTTGAGAGCTCTAATTTCTATCATTAGCTACGAGTACTGTCAGTTTCTTTCTTTATAGTGACTGGCTTGGTTTGTCTATTTGTTTTTGAGAAAGTGCCTGTCAGTCAAATGCCCAAGTCTTCTGAATAACCACAGTTAGTTTGACAACCTTTCTAGTAAATGAAAAAAAATCAACTAGTTCACATAGCATCTCAATCACAAACTGCTTTTCCTTGAGCATCTTAATTTGGTCTGCAACTGAAATGCTCTATATGTGGTTCCCATTTTCTTACATACATTATTGAAAAGATGTCTACTGAAGGGTTGATATTTAGTAAAATTGATTTTTACTGCCTCATGGAGAACATTTTAAAATGAACCTGGCTCTATTTTTTGTTTTTTACCCCAAGTGCCTAGTGATGTAGAATATGATGGCACCTATTTCAATTTGTTGCCGTTACCTTTCTTGCCAGTAGTTTTACTTTTATACCATCAATGCAAATCTCAGCGAAAAAGGCCAAAAAGCCTTTTAGTATTAATATGAAAATAATTTAGATCTCACAGACCCCTGAAATGCTTAGAATGTAGGGCAGTATGGAAGGCTTCCTAAGTCCTTTGGAACAATAGTATATCTGTTATTATGGCCTTACAGCATTCTAAAAATACAATCTTATCCTGATTAAGGTAATTTCAAAATTGAAAAAGCAAAACAAAAAACCTCAAGGTCCCCAAACCAATAGCTTCTATTTCCTACCCTAAGAAATTTAGGACTCCTGTGTCTTCAGTTCTTAGTTATTCTTAACAGACTGTAATGCAATAGCTTTCTTCAGACTGCCAGCTTTACTCTTACTTTGCTCATTGGGATCATCCCCGTATGAACAAACATCTCTATTGTTTATGCTTAATTCATTTCACAAGTGACATGAAAAAAAATGCCTCCATTTAGTGATGGACTTTATTACTGTTCAAAGCTTGTAATGTCTATAATCATGAATTACATACTGTTCCTGTTTTAAAATATTTGTTGACCTAAAAGTATTTTTCTTTCTCCCACTCTCAGGATGCAAAAATCGAGGCAGAAGAATTTACTAGACAGCTGTATGTTGAACTCAAGTCTTCACCTCAGCCTCACCTAGTTCCTTTTCTTAAGGTAGAGTTATGTATTTACTACTCTGAAAATATTCTTAGTATTAGGTTACTTTTAAAATAATTTAAAACCTGAATATTTCAACATCACAGCAACTTAAGGTGAATATAACTAACAATGTAGAAGAAACCTCTCAGTGTTGTAATCCATAAATCATGTTGATAGTTCATATTCTTTGATTTGGAAAACTTTGGGAAAACAGAAGTAACATCTGAGTCATGAATTATATTATTAGATGCTCGTATATGCAAAATTCTTGACATTAAAAAAAATAGGGCCTTCTGCTTTGTCCTAATGACTCATATTCTCTTAAAAATAACCCACATAATGCCAAATTTAGTGGAGAGGCTATTTTTAAAAATTAATATATTTTGTTAGTAGGCATATTCTTTAAGATTTATTGAATTACATAGAATTTTGATGGAGAACAGTAACTTTGATAATGGACAGTTGTAATATTTTCAACAATAAAGATAAGTTAAAAAAAGAGCTTGGTTTGGCAGACTAAAATATATATTCTTTGGATACTCACAAGCTGAAAAGGAATCAAATTGAAATTTATTGAAGACTAGTGAACGAAAGACTCATCCCATAAATTTTGAAATAATGGAATAAGGTGATGCCTTTAGAAACATTTGGCTTAATTATGTAGGAAACATGAAAGAGGTTTCATAGTGCAAGACTTTTTTTGATTGCCTCATGATGAAAGGATGGGAAGGGAGATGGAGCACCGCATTTTCAGAAGGGTATTAAAATAGTGGAAACTGTCCCTAAGAGGGTGACCACATTGATTAGGAGGGTGCTAATAGTGTGATCCGAAGTGTGGCTAAAGAAACTGAGAATGTTTTAGCCAGAGACGACTTGGTCTGGGAAAGGGATGTTAATACCTAACATCAGATGACTAGTGCCCTGAGTTGAGATGACCCTTTTTTTTTTTTTATTTTAAATATCTTTATTGATTTCAGAGAGAGGAAGGGAGAGGGAGAAAGAGAAACATCAGTGATGAGAGAGTCGTCATTGATTGGCTGCCTCCTGCACACCCCTGACTGGGGATCGAGCCTTTATGTGCCCTCACTGGGAATTGAACTGCAAATCGAACCTTGATCTCCTGGATCCTAGGTCGATGCTCAACCGCTGAGCCACACCCGGCTGGCTCAGATGACCCTCTTGATTGAGAAGTTTGAGGCAGTCTTCCTTGGGTCCTTTTCAGAGCCATAGGTGCTCTGCATGATATTGACAATTCTTTTGAGTTTATTTCCATTTCACACTCCCTGGAGACACTATGAGGAAGAAGGAGAGAAATTAGTAAGCACCCACTATGTGTCTGATGCTTTGCTAGATAATTTACTTCTAATTTGCATTGTTTGCACTTAATTTTCATATCAGTCTTTTGAGAATAGCTGCTAGATAGTATTTTTCATTTTAGGGATGAGAAAACCGTGTAAATTGGCTAACTTTTGACCAAACTCACAGGTCCATTGTTTAGCCTATCTGACTATTTGCTAATGAACACTGCTTTGAAGTTACCAAAATCACCGTGAACTAGTGCTAGTGCACTTTGTTTCTGTTTTCTAAGGACCTACCTAAGCCTTAGGTTTTTTCTTGAGAATTTTTTTTCCTCATTTTTGGGAGCTTTTGGGGCTTGGATATTGCATAGGGATGAGGGATTCAGCCTTTATTCTTTTTTTTTTCTTTTTCTTTTTTTTTTTTTTTTTTAGAATTTTGTGAATGTATATTTTTAAGATACCCTATTTTTATTTTTTTAATTAATTTTTTAAATATATCTTTATTGATTTCAGAGAAAGGAAGGGAGAGGGAGAGAGATAGATAGAAACATCAATGATGAGAGAGTCATTGACTGAGCCCGCAACCCGGGCATGTGCCCTGACCGGGAATCGGACCCCGATCGCCTGGATCCTAGGTTTACGCTGAACCGCTGAGCCACGCCCGGCCAGGCTCAGCCTTTATTCTTAACTCTGGCCAGGAGATCAAGAGATAATATAGTGTCTCTTTAAATCTTTTTTTTTTTTTTTTTAATATGTTTCTATTGATTTTTAGAGAGGAAAGGAGAGGGACAGAGAGATGGAAACATCAGTGATTCGATCAGCTGCCTCCTGCAAGCCCCCTACTGGGGATCGAACCTGAAACTCGAGAATTGAACCAGTGAATTCTTGGTTCCTGGGTCCATGCTCAACTGCTGAGCCACACTGGCCTCTTTAAATCTTATTACTTTAACATTTCTTTCCAATTGTGTTTTTCTCAGGACCCCTTCATCTTAGATTTCTAACTTAAATTTAATCAATCACTTCATTTGTTCACTTATTTTTAAAGCAGCGTATTTTTCTTCCACTTTCAAAGTTTAGAAAAGGATTATGAGAGACTTTCATTTTCTTTTTCCTTTTTTTGTTTGTTAGTTAATCCTCATCTGAGGATATTTTTTCCATTGATTTTTAGAGAGAGTGGAAGAAGAGAGGCAAGCGGGAGGGAGAGAGAGAGAAACATCAATGTGAGAGAGACACATTGGCTGGTTGCCTCCCGCACCTACCCCTTCGTGGGCTAACACTCTAACCATGAAGCCACACTGGCCAGGGTGAGCAACTTTGTTTTGTTACTATTTTTATATATATATGAAAATCTCTTTGGATAAGAATTTTATCAATTTCTTCTAATAAAAAAAAGTAAAGGAAGTAACTGAAAGGAAAGGAAAGGAAGAGGAGCAATAGTTTTTATTTGCTTTTTAAATAATAACAGTCTGAAAATTTGTCAAAACAAGGAAATCTTTCAAAACAGCCCATGAACTTGCTAACAGATAACCTACTATCTACTTACTTTTTCATCTTTTTTTCTTACACAAAAACAAAGAAATATCCCATATCCTAGGGATGAAAGGCAGAAACTTCTACTTTTTAGCTTGAACTGTCTTTAATACTTTCATCAGGATACAAAGATAAACACCAACTTAAAATACAGTCAGGAAATATTCTCACTCAATTAAGAAAATTGATCTTACTTGTATTAGCTTTATTTTGATGTGAAGACTATTTCTATCAAAATTTGAAAGTTATTTAACAAAAAAAATGTTGTAGTCTACTTTTGTATAAATAAACTTACAGATATTGAAGTTATTAGTGATCCATTATGGGGTTTAGATGAATACAAACAAGTTTAAAACTTTTATTTTAACACATCGATTTTCACTATACAAAATAAGTTTAATACTGGGACATAATAATTTCATATTGAAAAATAAATCACTTTTGGGTTTTAAAGAAATCAAATCTTGGGTATTGACAGGACATAAGTAATATCAGATTTCCTCAACTGAAACACTTGATGTACTTTTGAATTATTTTATGTTGTAAAGATTTTAAATACAAAGTATTTCTATTTTACTAGTAGCTAATCTACTTAGTTATCAGTGTGTTTTTTTTCTCCTCTTCCCTGTTTCTAGAAAAGTGTGAGTGCCTTACGACAACTCATGCCTAACTCCCAGAGTTTTATTCAGCAGTGTGTTCAGCAGACTTCTGGTGAGGTAGTCATTGCTACCTGTACTACACCAGTAACAACTTCTGTGGTGACAACAACAGTTTCCTCAATCCAATCTGAAAGGGCAATCATTGTTTCTGGAGCAACAACACCCAGAACTGTGTCAGTACAAAGTCTGAATTCACTTGCTGGTCCAGGGGGAGCAAAAACTGGAGTTGTGACACTTCATTCTGTGGGTCCAACTGCTGTAGCAGGAGGAACAACAGCTGGAACTGTTTTGCTTCAGACTCCAAAACCACTTGTGACATCTATACAAAATGCAGTTACAACAGTCTCACTTCAACCTGAAAAACCAGTTATCTCTGGGGCAGGAGTAACGCTGGCCCTTCCATCGGTAACTTTTGGAGAAACTTCAGCATCAGCTATTTGTCTTCCATCTGTGAAACCTGTCATTACTTCTGCTGGGACCACATCTGACAAGCCTGTCATTGGCGCTCCAGTCCAAATCACACTTGCACAGTCAGGACCCATCCTTTCACAGCCAGCTGGTATTCCACAGACAGTTAAAGTCAAGCAACTAGTGAGTAACATTTCATTACTTCCTCAGTTTCTTATTTTGAAAATTTCAAACATTCAGAAAACTGGTAAGACTAGTAAAATGAGCCCCTGTGTTCTCTTGACCAAGTTTGACCAGTTGTTAATGTTTTACCACATTTGCTTTGTTCTCCCTCTCTCTGTTCACATACTACACAATACACAGGTGATTTTTTTCTTGAACCGTTTGAGAGTTGCTTGCAGAGATCATAACATTGCACCCCCACATACTGTGTGTGTATCCCTTAAGGAAAAGTCTGTGGGTTTTTTCAATGTAAGTTCAACATAGGTGGGAAGTTAAATATTGGTATAGTATGTATTTCCACAGTTGTCCCAACAATGTCCTTTATAGCTATTTGTTTTTCTGATGTTGTTTCTAATGAAGAATTGCATATTACATTTACTTGTCATTTCTCTTTAGGCTTCTTTAATCTAGAACAGTTCCCCAGTCTTTTGTGGTTGCTTATTATGTTGTAATATTTTAAGTGCCTGGGCTGGTTGTTTTGCAGAATGCCCTTTATTCTGTTTTGTCTGATTGTTTCCTCAAGATTAGATGCAGATGAAATATTTTAGCAGAGTTCTTACATAGGTGATATTATGGTAACATTTCTTTAAAAAATGTGGGGAGGGAAGAGGGACATGGTGAAAGGAGTAGATAAGTAAGAAGTTGTGTTGTTTCCTAAATTAGGTAGGTTGAGAGGTTCTTGGGTAAAAGAAATCGTAGCTGTTTACCGATGAGTGTTTAGAACATTCTACTTTATTCAAGACAAGTTTTCTCAGAAGACCGTAAAAGTATTGTTAAGCTGTGTGGCATAGTAAAGCTCTCTCCTACTGTATACAATAATAAAGCTAGCTGTTTTTTGATTTTTGGTGATTGCCCTTGTTTTCTTTTGTAAGCCTTTGTGGTAAAGGTTGTGTTTTGAATCTCTTTGTTTTAGTTCATCCTGCTTCTTGCAATAGTTAAATCTAAGTAAATTTCCCAGCCTTGTTTTGTGCGATCAGGAGAGGAGATTAGGTTCTGTGGATGATTGACTTTGAGACGGAGAACAGCTTTGGGTGTAGAATGAAAGGGGAAAGATCGCCTGGCCAGGTGTGGCTCAGCGGTTGAGCGTCGACCTAGGATCCAGTCAATCGGGGTTCGATTCCCGGTCAGGGCACACGCCTGGGTTGTGGGTTCGATCAATGACTCTCTCATCATTGATGTTTCTGTCTCTCTCTCTCCTTCTCCTTTCCTCTCTCTGAAATCAATAAAGATATACTTTTTAAAAAAAGAAAAGAAAGGGGAAAGATCAATTCGAACAGCCATCAAACTCTTGGGTAGGTAGGAAGTAATTGTCATTTCCTGGGTACTGATCTTTTTTCATCCCTTCCTCCTCTGGGTCTGATTTTCAAATGGAGAAATGTACCTGCCTTGCAGAGTTTCTCTTGAGTGTCTCAATTTAATCTCAGAGATGAAACCTTTTTAGAAGTGATGATTCTTAACATGTATTTTTTTTACTCTTATGCTACAGTTTTTGTTTAGTTGAGGCCTTCTATTTTCTAGAACTTAATCTTAGTGACTGCATGGCAGTTATCACATATTGAATATTGAATAGAAATTGTAGGAAATATTACCCTTGATTCCACTAACTTTGTGTGCATATACTGCTTGAGTTATTTAGAGTTAAATATTTGATTGTTCTGTATTTATGAATGGGAGTGGGTTTGGGTTGAAATACAGAGAGCAAAGTGTGAAGCATGCCGTCATCTACTTGTTTCTTTGCTTCCTTTCCATATAGAATTTAAGAACAATTCTTTGTCAGATATCCCAGATCATAGTTATGGAAAAATCATAATTAATGTAAAAAAAAACTGTCACCTAAAGAATATTGTGTAGTTGTAGATCTGTATTTTCTATAAATGATTAGAACATTAATTTGTTAACATCCAAATAAAACGTCAGAATTTGATATGTCAAGAGAAGAAGCTAAGGTATTTATTCTTCCTTTCTAGTAGTTTTTTGGAGGGAAAGTAAATAAAGGACTTAAGTTTTAAAAAATATACTAGCTGCATGGCTCAGTGGTTGAGCGTCGACCTAGGATCCAGGCGATCAGGGTTCGATTCCCGGTCAGGGCACATGCCCAGGTTGTGGGCTTGATCCCCATTGGGGGGCATGCAGGAGGCAGCCGATCAGTGACACTCCCATCATTGATGTTTCTATCTCTCTCTCTCCTTCTCCTTGCCTCTCTCTGAAATCAATAAAGATATATTTAAAATAAATAAATAAATAAATATAATAGCTCTTTCTTTTGCTTGCCAAGTAGGAGCCAGTATCTCTTCTTTGGGCCAATTTCCATATCTTTAAGATAATTTCAGTCTCCATAAGATGCCTAATACAGGGGTGGGCAAAAGTAGGTTAGTAATGGTAATAATAAATAATGCAGTAATTAATAAAGAAATAATACAAGAATAAACTTTTGTGTACTCACAACTGTAAACCTACTTTTATCCACCCTTGTACTGTGGTTCTAAATGGTACTTTTCTTTGAAAGAACGCTGATGAATTCTCTTATATATTTTCACTCATAATATTACTTTGTTCACCAAATATGCAGGAGTATGCTGCACATATGCTGCCTCAAGTTTTATAGTCATTAATATGAGCAGTGATGGAGATCCAAGATTGCGAATCCCAGCTCAAAACTTTGTGATATATATAAATACCCCATATCATTCATATACACATATATATGTGTGTGTGTGTGTGTGTATATATTTTTTTAACTGACACATTTGCCTCCCACCACCTGCATGAACTTGACCCTGATTGGTCTGTAGGCCAGGCCATGCACAGTGCCAGATGCAGGCTGGCACTGAGGCTTACCTTCCCAGCTTGTTCTGTGCCAAGGTATTACAACCAGCATCCCGTCCACTGGGAGCTGGCCCCTGCCTCCACTCCCACCCCTCCTGCCGGGTCCCTTGGAGCTCTGCCCCCTTTCCACCTGAGGGAGAGACTTCCAGGCTGTTACCTTTTTGCATACTCATCACAAATGGTATGAAGATTAACTCATAAACAAATTTCTAATATTTTATTACTATCTTTCATAATTAAAATACTAAAAAGAATACCTAGTAAAGAATATAAAAAAAGAATATGTGAACAATAGGGAAATAAGTCAGAGTTGTTAGAAGTGTTTTTGTTGAGCTTTCTTTCTGAATGCATAAATGAGACTCTGAATGTATTACTTTGTAGAATTTAAATATGACGCCTAGGATTTTATAAGGCATAAATACGAGCTCAGCTTGTTAAAAAGACATCATTGCTTTTAAGAGTTTTTTTCTCTCTTTCAAGAGCCTATTCTTAGAATGATGGCAATTGAATTATCCCAATTTGTATTCTCTAGAGGTATTAGTTCCTATGGGATTATTTACTGGGGCATTTTGCGTTTCTTATGACTTACTATTGTTTAGTGATTGATGCACACTAGATTTTAAATTTACTTACAAAAAAATATTAAAGTATAGAATAAATTGTACTTGCAAAATTCTGTTCAGAGGCCTATCTCCTGGCACATGTATATTAGCCAAAAATGAATTTAAGGACTGATAATTAGTTCACTACCAGTAGCTAGCTCAAAACCTGACTGTCTTTCTTCTTTGAAGTGAAAAAAAAAAAAAAAGCTTTGCTATTTTTTTTTCTCTTATTCTTTGAAGCTAAAAATAACACCCTGCTAGTACCTTAATTTTGCTTCCTTTATCCCCAGCCCTCACCCTCTGGGCTTGAACTGTTTATTTTGGAGAATGCCTTTAGCATTGTAATTTGCCAGGTATTTTAAAAAAATGGCCCATTAAAAGTCCTTATCTTTTGGAGATATGTTTTCAAATATTTATGGATAAAAGATATATCTGGATGTGCTTTAAAATAATTGAAGGTGGTAGGGAAGAGGGTGGGGATATAGATGAAACAAGATTGGTAAAGAATTAATCATTGTTGAAGCTGGATAATAATGGCATAGGTGGTTTCATTATATTGTTTCTTCCACTTTTGTATATATTTGAAATTTTTCATGATAAAAGTTAAAAAATGAAAATAGGATGCATATGGAGGTTTAAATTGGGCAATATGTAATGTACATTTGAATTCCACTCTAAAAAATAACATAAAATGTGTGAGATAGTCATGTTTTTCAGTTTTGAATGAGATAATTTTGCAACAGGCAAATTTAAATTTTAAGTAGGCATTCTTGTTTATTTACAGTTAGGTGAGGGCAAATTGGTTGTTTTGTTGTTATAACTGAAGCAGGTTTGCTTGAATGACTATAATGATAGTTCTCATTGTTTCAGGTAGTCCAGCAGCCTTCAGGAGGCATTTCAAAACAAGTGGGTACACTTTCCCATTCCTCAGCATTGACCATTCAGAAACCTGCACAGAAGATTCCAGTGAACACTGCAGTAACTACCGGTCAGTCACATCCAGCTAGATTCTGACCCGCCACACTGGGTTTGAAACCTGATGAAGTTTTCGACTATTTTTTATTGTTATATTAAGAGACAGGAGATTTGGTCTTTTATGTTGAGACCTATGAGAGAACACTGAAAGATAACTATTTTACATTCTTTGCACATAAGTAGCCACTTTTTGGGGGTATATGTTGTTTTAGAATAAAAGAAGCAGCTATTCACAGTATTTATAATCAGATAAAACAATTCAGTAGTAAATAAGTACTTTTTTAACTTATAAAATTTTGTGTGGCCTTTCTTTTTAAAATATATTTCTTTCTCTAAGTTTATAAGTTAAGTCTTACACATAAAATTTAGAGGTATTATGTATTTTTAAAATCTACCAATATAAATGATATATTATTAACATGTTTCTGTCACCTTTTCTGGGTAATATTTTTATAGTGCTGGTAATTCTGTAGACAATTTGAAGACTGGAGGTCCAGATTTTAGTAGATGATTTCATGTGCAGGGAATAAATTCATTGTCATGTTTGAATTTAAACATAGTTTTAGGGCAGTTTGCATTTTTCTTGATTTTTTTTTTTTTAATGTATATTAAAAGCTGTTGTCCTGAATTTTTCCTAATGTGGCATGATTGACTTTTTAAAATTATACTTTTTTTCTTTCTTCTTTGTTTATATAGCTTCCATTCTAAAGCAAATTACCCTTCCAGGAAATAAAATTCTGCCACTTCAAGGATCTTCTATTCAGAAAAATAAAATAAAAGAGAATGGAACAACATCCTTGAGGTAAAGAAAATAAATAGTTAAAACTTGGTTTGATTTAAGGAAGTAATATTTTAAAAAAGAAAAGAAATGACAGAATAATACTTGTAATAAGTAAATATATTTATGCATTTTTAAAAAGCTAACAGTACTTTGAGTATAATTTATAAATAAAAAAGTGCACAGATTTTTAGTGTATGTCTCAATGAATTTGACAAACATATATACCTGTGTAATAATCCAGATTAAGATGCTGAACATATCCAACACTTTTTGCTCCTTTCAAGTCCATTATCACCAACCCCTGCTTCCTACAGCCACTATTTTTATATCTATCACCATAGATCATTTTTGTCTATTCTTGAACTTCACGTAATGAAAAATTATATTATCTGCTCTTTTGCGTCTGAATTTTTTTACTTAGTATGTTTTTGAGATTCATATCCTATGTCATGAATATTAGAAGATTTTTCTTTGTGTTGGGGAGAAGTATTCATTGTATGAATGTAAATTTGTTTCCTTTTTTCTGTTGATGAACATTGGGTTGTTTCCAGTTTTCGACAATTCTAGATAAGGCCACTATAAACATTTACATACAGATTTTTGTGTTTCATTTCTCTGTAGTAAATATCTAGGAGTATAATGGCTGGGTCATTAGATAAGTGTGTGTTTATAGAATGTGCTGGATTTCTGGATTTACTGCATTTCAACTTATGATTTTTTGACTTTACGGTGGTTTGAAAGCTATATGCATTCAGTAGACACAGTACTTTGAATTTTGATTATTTCCCAGTCTAGCAAAATGCCTTATGCTACTCCTTATGATACTCTCAGGGTTCAGGGTAGCAGCAGTGAGATGATTTTGCCCAACTGTAGGCTAATGTAAGTGTTCCAAGCATGTTTAAGGGGTGAGGCTAAACTATTAAGTTCAGTAGATTAGGTGTATTAAATGTGTTTTTGGCTTAAAATATTTTCAATTTACGATGGGTTTATCAGAATGTAATAACCCCATCGAAAGTCCAGGAGCATCTGTATTTAAGAAACTATCAAACTGCTGACCAAAGGGACTGTAGCATTTTATATTCCCACCAGCAATGATGAGAGTTCCAGTTGCTCTCCAACTTGTCAAGGCTTGGTATATTCAGTTCTTTTGATTTTTACAATTTTAATAAATGTATAGTGGGTATTATTATTGTGGTTTTAATTTATATTTTCCTAATGACTAAAGATATTTTTGAGTATCTGTTTTGTGCTTATTTGCTCTCCACATATCTCCTTTGGTGAAATGTATGTTCAAATCTTTTGCTCATTTTTCTTCATTGAGTTGTTTGATTTCTTCTAATCGAGTCTTTAGAGTTCTTCATATATTAAAGAACCAAGTTCTTTGCTACATAGCGATTTGGAAGTGCTATTCTGTGTGGTGTGTTTAATTATTCTCTTACCAACATCTCTCACAGAGCAAAAGTTTTTAATTTTGCTCAAGTCCGGTTCATTAACTTATTATTGTAGGTTATGCTTTTCATGTTTTACCTAAGAAATGTTCGTGCAACCCAAGGTTATGAAGATTTTCTCCTATGCTTTGTTCTAGAAGTTTTACAACTTTAGGTTTGTCCTTTTTGTATTGATATTCTTTAGTTTTCACTTCTTGCCTATGTAAAAACCAATGTGTGGTGGTTCTATTTTCTTCTTTCTATACATCTATCTATAGTTCTTAGTTGCATTATTTTTTGTCACAATATATAAACATTTGTATTGTAGTCTACTTTCCTCATCATCCCTATCTGCATTTTAGTTGTAGGTCTACTTCTGTATTAAAATGTTCACCTTTTGTCTTTTCTCTGAAGCTTTCTCAGTCATCTCTTGGTTGGACGAAGTTCATCTTCTCAAGAAGGACTCATCGGTGTAGAATTCCCTAAGTTTTTGTACATTAAAAACAGTTTTTCAATGTCCTTGATACTTGAAAGACAGCTTGGCTGGATATGAAATTAATACTTTTTGTGTTGCATTTAAAAATACGTTGCTCCATTATTATCTTGATTTTATGTTGGGTTATTTTTTGTAATTGATTTTTTAAGGGGAGAGAGAGAGAAACATCAATGTGAGAGTGAAACATCAATCAGCTGCCTTCTGCACGCCCCCTACCCGTGAGTGAGCCCACAACCAGGGCATGTGCTGTGACTGGGAATTGAACTGGAAACCTTTCCGTGCAGGGATGACGCCCAACCAACTGAGCCACACCAGGCAAATTTACAGCTGAAATTGACTGAAATTAACCACAATTTACCTTCTACCACTTCCCCTGGAAGTTGCAAGCCTTCAATAGACTTCCAAGTTCCAAAATAGTTATACCAGACAGATTCCTGATGCTTACTATTCCACCATCTTCCCAGAGTCCTCCTCCTCACCATGCTTTTCATAAGCTTTTTGTGTGGCTTCTTTGACTTTTATTCTGCAGAGCTTCAATGCCAAATGCTAAATGGGAAAAAATCATCAGGCCTGCTTCTTTGTGTCTCACTTCTGGATAGGATCATTGCCTATCTCTCAAGTCTTGGCAAGCCTGGGGAGCCTTAAACTCCTACTTTTTGTCTCTCTTTAGGAGATTGCCTAATGCTCTCTTAGCTTTTCTTCTTCTTAGTAGCTGCCTTTTCCCATGGCTTCTTAGTATCATCTTATTCCACATCCAGATTAGCACATACCCAATGGAAGAACATGGAGAAAAATGAGGTTCCTTCAGTGAGGTTCTATTCTCTTGGGATTGCTGCCCTTCGATACCTGGTTCTATTGGAACTTCTCAGCTTCAAACAAACTTTTAAGAATAGTTTTTCTGGCTGTATTAGTTTTTCTTGATTAGGACAATTACCTGTTATAAGTGACGGTTGTGTACTTACTTTATGGTATATTTTGATAAATTGAAGTTGCTCATTTTATTTAAAAAATTTTTTTGTTTATTGATTTTAGAGAGAGGAAAGGAGAGGGAAGGAGAGAAAAGGAAACATTGATTTGTTATTCCACTTTTTCATGCATTCATTGGTTGATTCTTGTATGTGCCCTGACTGAGGATTGAACCTGCAACCTTGCAATATTGGGATGACAGTCTAACCAGCTGAGATAGAAGTTGCTCATTTTACAGTAGTTGAATTTAGTAATTTATTTTATGAATTGTTTATTCATGTTTTATTCATCCTCTTTGGTTTCATAAAGATAGTCTCCTTTATAGTCTTCTAAAGGTTTTGAAATTTTATTTTTTTTTATTTAAATCTTTGTTATCATTGTTTAATTTTTTTCCCTATGGTATGAGGTAGGAATGGTGATTCACTTATTCACATATATAGAACCATTTGTCCCAACAGCATTAATGTACAGTCTATTCTTTCTTGTTGATTAATAATGTCTTCTATGTTATATATGAATGGATCATTTCTGGGCTATCTGTTCCTTTAGTTTATCTTTCTTTTTATCTCTGTTTTATCACATTGATTAATTTGTTCATTTTCAGTAGCATACTGTTCATTTTACTATAACTTCAAAATAAATTTTATGTCTGTTAAGGCATATTCCCTACCTACTTCTCCTTTATTTTCTCTCCTCCACTTTCATAACCCCCTCCTCTGTTCTTCTATGCATGTCTTCTTTAACATCTAATTTAGTGATGTAATTTTATCTGTACAGGTTGTACACAGTTTGTTGAATTTATCTGTTGGGTTCATTCCTAGGCGCTTTTTTATTGCTCTTACAGGTATTATTTTTGGTAATTGCCTTTTCTGTTTCTAGTATATAGAAAGCAGGGTTTTTAAAAAATTGATTTCAGAGAGAAGAAGGGAGGGAGAGAGAGAAAAACAGAAATGCATGAGAGAAACATCGATCATTTGCTTCCTGAATGTGCCCCAACCAGGGATTCAACTTAGGACCTAGGTTATGGGCCCTGAATGGGACTCGAACCCGCAACCTTTTTGGTATATAGGATGACGCTCAACCAACTGAGCCACCTGGACAAGCATGTTGGTTTTTTTTGTTGTTGTTGTTTTAAATCATAATGCCAACTGCCTTGTTAAGTTCTTATTTCTGATAATTTTTAGATTATTTTAGGTTATTTATGTAGATGATGTCAGGAGTGAGATTAGAATTATGAGTTGCCTTTTTTTCTCTCCTTTCAGCACTTTAAAAATGTCTTTCCATTGTTTTCTGATATCCATGTACATGTTCAGTTTCACAGATAAAACATATATAGAAAAGTTACCCTGATTTTAACAGGGAAACAGCAACACATTTGGATCTCCAGTGACTTAAAACGTTGGATGATCAAATGTTCCCTATTAAAAACTATTATAAAATGGTTAAAAATAAAATGTGGAATCTCAAAAATGAGCAAGTAACAATTATCTATTAAGAGATGAATACAAAGATTTGAAAGATAACCAAATAAGACATTGAGAATTGAAAAATGTAATTGTTGAATTTAAACCCTTATTGGATAGGTAAATCAGATTAAACCTGAGGGCCCAAATTGAGTTTGCTTTACTCCAGAGAGGATTTATGACTGTTTCGTGCAGCAAAGAGGGATGACTATTGACTTGAGACCACTTTAGCCTTTTTCTAGGAAACCTGACGTAGATAAGATTTCTCTACTTTAACAGAGGCCCAAGAACTAGTGCTAGCCACAGGCATTCGCCCCTGAGGCAGTTCTACAGTATGCTCATTGCTTATTTTTACTGACACCTTTTGACAACTTCTGTGCACCCAGCACTGGAATGAAAATGTCTTATGCTGGTCTAGTTGTAATGCTATGTAATTTCTCCTTAGTAAATCTAGTCCACTTACTGCCTGAAGCAAAAGTGTCACCACTAGTATTTTCTTTGGGAAATTTCTAGCTTACTACTTTTGCTCATTTATCTGCTGAGTGCTTATTGCTTTTTAGATTTATATACATATATATGAAAGTAATTATTTGTTGTATATGTTGTAAATATTTAATCTTTGGTTTAGCTTGTAACTCTTTTTAGTGTCTTTTGTTATACAAAGGTTTT